CTATATGTCAAAAAACAGTTCTCCTACCCACCGCATGCTCCTCCTCCTAGTGCATGAAAACAAATAAAATCTTGCCCAGCTAGTTAACTTACAGACTGCAAGTTTGCATGCAATTATCTCTCATGTCTGAAAAGCCTATGAATTTTCGAAATGAGTGAGTCGCTGATATCTCCTTCTTGCTGGTGGAAAAATTCCGTTGTTGTTGTTCAACGTGATGTCACCTGGAACCTGTTTCTTGCAAGACATTAACCCAGCATGCAGAGTTATTTAGCTGTACTTTGGGATTGACCAATCCTGTGTCCATTTCTCTTTTTCGCTGAAAGATTCCACTCAGGATGAGCGCCAACAACTCCAGCCTGGCTGATGATGCACAGCCCCTGTTCATTCTTCCTCTGGCGCTGGTCATCTTCCTCACAGTGATTGGGAACCTGTTGGTCATCTTGGCTATCGTTCGCACCCCTCTGCTCCACACCACCACCAACGTCTTCATCATCTCCCTGGCCTTTGCGGATCTCATCATGGGTTGTGTGGTGCAGCCTTTGGGCGCCAGCATGGTGGTGAGCGGGAAATGGCTTTTAGGTGACAAGTTCTGTGACATGTGGACGTCCGTGGACGTGCTTTGCGTCACAGCCAGCATAGAGACGTTGTGTGTCATCGCCGTTGAGCGCTATTTTGCGGTCACGAGACCTTTTGAGCATCAGGTCCTCCTTGGGAAGCGCAGAGCTAGCTATATCGTCTGCACGGTGTGGATAGTGGCGTCCCTAGTTTCCTTCGTGCCAATCATGAACCATTTTTCTCGTGCAGATTATGAGGAGGCAGAAATATGTTACAATAAACCAGAATGCTGTGATTTCCATACTAACAAGACCTACACCATCTTCTCCTCAGTGGTGTCCTTCTACGTGCCCCTCGTTATTATGGTGTTTGTGTACGGGAAGGTGTTTGTCATCGCGACCAGACAGCTGAAACTCATTGACAAGAATAGACTCCGTTTTCTGAGCACATGCACAGAAGACACTTGTGAAAATCCAGGTGAAACGGTGCGTAATTTGAGCCGGAGGTCAACGAGGCATGTCGTGAAAGAACACAAGGCACTCAAGACGCTGGGGATTATTATGGGCATCTTCATTCTCTGTTGGCTGCCCTTCTTTTTCTTCAATATCATCAAGGTTTTTAATCCCGAAGTGCTGTCGAGGGATGTGTTCGTCCTGTTGAACTGGCTCGGTTACACCAATTCAGGCCTGAACCCAATCATCTACTGCCACAGTCCCGAGTACCGCACCGCATTCCTCAATCTTCTAGGGTACAAAAAACTCAAGCGGTTAAATTACGACACAGTGCACAAACATCTATGGACCCTCAGCTCGTGCATCCAAAGCAACAGTTCTGTAAAAATGGATTGCTTAGGTCACGGAGATCCATCTGCTAAGGGTGGGAACGTTTGCTCAGACACGTGTACAGTTTTCAAAGAAGAAGAGGTGGAAACTCAGCCTCACAATGACTCAAATGTGGCACGGATCAATGCAGCAGAGATGTTAAAGGTAAGAGAGTATTTAATGTGAATGATGTCTCAAACCGTGCAAGCTGGTGAGGTGTGGTGTGCTATTATTTATCTAAGTGATTGGATTTTCACCTTAAGGATGATCAAATGGTTATAAAAATCCAATTAACATTGAAACCACCAAGAAGTCCTAGCAACTGTATAGCAACATGCTAAAAACTACTCAGAACACCTTAGAATCCACATAGCTATGCCTTGGCAACCATTCACAACACCTAGCATAATGGCATTGAACTATGAAACAGCACTCAAATTTTCTTCAGAAAATCCTTCACATTTACTTATTTAGCAACTTATTTTGCACTTATTTAGTTGGCATTTACATTTTCACTGTACTAAAGCCAAAAGCAATAATTAATAAAATTATCTGGAAAGTACGATTTTCATACTAACCTCACACTAATCATTGGTTCAAGGCTCAAATTTTCCTTTGGGGTCTTCGATCCACAGTTTGAAAACTTCTGATTTAATTTTTCCAGATACAATTTTTTTGACAGTGTTATTTTTTACAGGTGCTTTATAGCGGAGTTGATCTTTAAATCATTATTTTCCTGTTTATCCCTGTAAAGCTGCTTTGAAACAA